AGAATTATTCATTCATCATAGATTTTTCTCTCAAAAACTTAATCAGAGAAAGAGAAAGATCTTTGGACAATTAGAAAGGAATATGTGCTAACAAAAAGAAAGAAAGACGTGTGTTATTTATACATTATTTAGATCTACTCATATTTGTAGGTGTAATTCTTATTTCATTTGTATGCGCATGATTTGTATGACTGGATATATCTGCTACTCCTTGTATACAGATTTCATTGATGCCTGAAATAACAAACTAATAAAAAGGCAAGTCATTGCCCATGTTTCTGAATCACTTTTCAAGATATGAAATGATGAAATATTCAAAGATAATTAGACTGGAGGGTATATTTGTCGTCCTGAAGGTGACACTTTTTAATTACATCAGTAACCTGTAAGAACGATTGTTGTTTTTTTAACTGATGATTTGCTTCAAGGCAAAGTATTTGTCTCCACTGGAATACTTGATTAATACGTGCATATGAATTTGATTTGTGTGTCGGCCCTGTGGAGTGTGATCCAAAAGACTTCTTCATTTTAATGATTGATCATTTGCCAACCTTGTGTTTCATCATCCCAATCATTTCTCACAAAGCAAAGAGTGTCTCTCTATATGATACTATAACAGGATGGTTCTGTTGTATAATGCAGAGATGTCATGCCATGGTCATGCTAACGAAGCTCATTTTGAATTGAAAAAAAAGAGATGCAGAGATGTTGTTTAATAAAGCTGTGTCTGGTCTGGGGGAAAGATGATTAAGCGGAGGTTGTGAGCTATCTATATTTGAAGCCATTAATTTTCTCAGTCACATGCAGTGTTAAGTCAATTAGTTACTGTATGAATTGATCGCATCCAGTCACTAAACTAATTCCAAACCCTAATCACTAGCCTCAATCATTGCCGACGATCTCATTTTATTTCCTGTCATAATTTTCCTTCCGTATTAATATCTTTGATTTATACATAGCATTTCATTGTGTCATAGTTCATAAATATGGTCCTGCCATTGACTCACATATTGCATAGGATTCGTAGAGCTAGGGTTTGTGGTAAGATGATGTGTTTTTGGTTAAATCAATAAATGTGTTTGAAAGTCACAGCCTTGGTGTTGTGCTTTACTGGCAAAAAAACACACAACTATGTGTACATGGGTAAGCAAATGCACTATTCTTCCACCCACATGACCATAAATAAACTGTTGCGCTTTATTTCAAGGTTGCCATAGTGAATCGTGAGCCCTTCACAGCTTCATGGACTGGCTTCTGACATGCAGCTCGAAGCTGTATTCAAGAACTAAAAATAAGAAAAGGAGGAATTTCTCACACAGAAACGGAGGCGCTGAGTCAGAAAACACTTTTTTTTTAAATTCATGTTGGTAGATAAACCTTTTATCTTCATGTTGCTTATTTGTCCGACTTAATGGGCATTTCCTGAGGCCCTATTTCCCACTTCTTAATTTCTACTCAAAATAAGTGCAGCAGCAGTTGAAAGCTCAGTGTGAATCCATATTTCTCAAAGTGGAGATAAGGGAGAAAAAGCCTCATCCTTCTTATGTGTCTGTCACAGTTAATACTTGGTGTAAACAAACTCCATGCGTCAGTCCTCACCACACCAGCCATACAATTCAAAAGATAGTCCTGGGGACCAATGTTTAAGATTGTGTCACACCAAATGCTGCTTTATTCCACCTCTTAACATTACTACACATTAAATACACACCTTAAGTCCTCTCTGAGCTGTTAGTGCCACCACATGGCCATACAGTATAAGAAGCTCTGAGATAAAGATTTTAAATGTATTCAACATTAATTAGATCAATTGCATGCAGGCCGGTGGTCCTGTGAGTGAAGACTAGAGAAGCGGACTGCAGCTGGAAAGGGAGGATCATCGGCGGTGGGCAGATTCAGTCTCATGCCACAATGTGATGTATGAAATGCATAAAAAAATGTACATGGCCATTTTAAACAGTGAAATCAAACATTTTGATTCCCCCTCAGGCATGTGCTGCTCTCTGAGTTCATCACTAAAGAGAGTTAAAGACCAAACTACTCACATTATATTTTCAATAGAACTACGTTTGAAGGACACCCACCCTCAATGACTCACATAGAAGAAAGAGGAATGGAGCTCTAGAACTTTTTTCACAACAGGCATTCGACTTGTAATAGGAAAAGCATTTATTGCTATAAACACTATGACTATGTGACAAAAGACTTCTGTGAAAACTGCCTGTTGCTTCAAAAGGTGGTTCAAAGCCAAGAGTGTGCAACAACCTGTAAAAAAAGTTGGTGATCGCTTAAAGGCCCTGACACACCAAACCCACATCAAAGAACATGTGGAAACCATGCCACGAAGACTTAAACCAGGGCCCAGTAGCATGTACATGATGCACCTGTGTGATGTGAAATAACTCTCCATTACAGGGCCAGTAAGTGCCAGCTGTGCGGGACAACGCAAAAATAAAAAAAGTGAAAGATGCTGACTGACGACATGACGTTAGCCTACAGCCATACAGAAAGGCTTCAATGCACAATAGTTATTCAAATGGGGTTAAAGGCAGAAACATGCATCCTCAAAATCATTCATGTTTTGGACTGGGTTGTAGAGTATCAACATGACAGTCCTGACTCGTATAGGGAGCATTTAGAAAAACAACAAAAAATGACAATGAAAAGATAAAAGATTGATCTTTGTCCACTACCTTTTTTCATAGTCCTGCATAAGAAAGCACTTATCCTCACAGCAGCATATAAAGCCAAACAGAGGATGAAACTATATCAAGACGAGGTTACTCCAACCTCTCCAAACGTTCCCTTTCAAGGGTGAAACCCACAGGTGCTGACTTGAGTAAAGCAGTGTGAGAATCAGAAATTAGATGTCTGAAGTCTTAACGCGCTTGTGTGCTTCAAAGCCAGGAGTGAGAGCAGGGGGTGAGGACTCTCCACAAATACTTAAAGGGGACCTATCATGCAAAATGCACTTTTGTACGTCTTTTATACATGAATATGTGTCCCCGGTGTTCCAGGGAGCTCACCAAGTGTCAGAAAACACAACCCTCTCTATTTTTCTTCCATACCCAAATCTCTAAAAAAGGGGCTGCAACGGATCTGATAAAAACTGATCCAGATTTGAACACTGTCCTGATGTCAGGACAGTGGCGCTACGGCTATTGGGCCAACTCCACCAATCAGGAGGAGACTGCCACGGCCATTGCCGTTCGAAAGCGCTGGAGACGCTGTAGTACATATGCCAGGCCTATAGGTGGTGCTGTTCTCACAGAATCAGCCCTTGCAAAAACAGAGCTAAAAAAGTGCAAATTGAGTGAAATGAGGCATGGCTAAAATGCATGATCTGTTTGGTATTTTGAAAAAAAAAAAAGTATAAATATGCCTTATATAGGTATGGTCCTACACTATATTATTCAAATATAGCATGATAGGTCCACTTTAACAAAGGCAAAGAGATGCTGCTCCACTCGAAGTAATATAAGAGATCTGGCGAGAGATAGTGGTTATCTTGCCAACCCAACCCTGGCACTTGTTCTCGGAACTATTTTGCAACCATATGTGCTTCCTCAGTAGATCAACAGAGGCATGTGAAGCCACCTGTTAGGCTGTAGCATTGTTACACGCGTCATATTTGAGCTGGAGCCACAATGACATCATGAGTTCAAGACTGTTGCTCATGCAGTCACATCTAGTGGAGAAGGGAGCAGACTAGTCTATTCGTGGAGGAGTGTGGTAATTTGCACTATGGTAGGGGAGGAGTGATTGCTGAACAGATGGATTCAATGTCAGTTCATAACGGGCCTTTAGCTTCCCAGGGTCAGATGTTGTCTCTATATGGTAAATGGACAGACAGAACAAATAAACATGCCACAATTTATAGCAGAAACCTTGGACATTCTCCAAATGATGCTCAGGATTTTCTTATACTAACTGTTGTCGTCAAACAATGTTGTTTCATGTATTTTATTTCTTAACTGAAGCTGGTAGACCAATCTTAGAGTTCAACATTCAACCTGACAAAACAACTATGCAATTGACTAAGCCTACAATTATCTTTACCTAGGAGTCTGTGGATATGTAGCCTTGGTATATTATTGACTTTGCAAACATGTATGTAAACATAAGTGAGGAGAGTGTTGATAGAACAAAGAGAAAGATAATGTGAGGAGTGTTCAAGAGGCTAGCAATGGTAAAATACAGATTTAAAAGCTGAGTGTAATGACAACACTTGTAGCCTACTAAACATGCATTGATGTAAATATCCAATATTCACCATTTATATATTATCATTATGTTGTATTCACTGTCTGTATCTCTATCATCTGTGGTGTGTAAAGTCACTAAGTACTTTTACTCAAGTACAGTACTTAAGTACAATTTTGAGAGACTTGTACTTTACTTGAGTATTTCCAGTTTTGTACTTCTACCGACTACAATTCAGAGGTAAATCGTCTACTTTTACTCCACTACTTAGTTACTTTGCCGATTGCACGTTTACCGGCTTTAATAAACACATTTATGCATCAATAATTATAATCAAAACGTATAATATAGCCTACCATTCTAAAATGGCTCAATTTGCATAATGAGTACTTTTACTTTTGGTACTTTTAGTATATTTCGATGCTAATACTTTTATACTTTTACTTAGTTAACATTTTTAATGCAGGTATTTTACTTGTAACAAAGTATTCATACACTGTGGTACTACTTTTACAAGATCTGAGTACTTCTCCTACCTCTGCTATTATTATTACGTAAATCTCTATCCAGTCCTAATGAGAAAAAAGTATTTAGACGTTGAAATCAAGCACAACAGAAACGATACTTTGTGAAGCAGTTTGGTAAAATGTATTTCCAATGTGCATGTTATTGTGTGTTCGTGAAAAGAACAATATGATATTGTCGTAAAAAAAAACATTATTATTAACCTGAACGAAATTCTTGCAGTTACTTAGCAAGCAGTATCAGCAGCTCCCATTTGTCCGACGGGACATGAAGGCAGCGCGAGTCACGCGTTGTTTGCCTCACAGAGCAAACATGGCGGAGGATGGAGAATCGCTGGAGTCCTGGCTTAGTAAGTACACTGTTAAACTCTTATTTAATCTCGTTTATTCGCATAGAGATGTGCACTCATGTACTGTGCTGCCGCTGGTGTCCGACACAGTAGTTTGACTCACATGACATCGCTGAAACTCAAGAGTATCGTGCTAATTCGTCTGTGTTGTCAGAAAGTGGCTAACACACAGCTGCTGGTAGTACCTGGTGGATGTAGCTAGCTAAACTCAGCTTGGATGTTTGCTTTATACTGCTGGATTTGTAGTCGGTATGTTGAAATGCTGGCACAAATTAAGTTATTATGCTGGTGACCCACACACGGCTTTGCATTTGCTTACGTAGGGCTGTTGTAAACACCTCCAGGCTTTAGCTTATCTAAGTGCAAACAGGTCTTTCAACAATGTATGTAAGAATACCAGAACACGGGTGGATAAAAAACAGGCTGGGTTGCTTATTGAGCGAGTTTAATTTTCATCACAAAGCTCCAGCCTGTGTTGTGAACCTGTAGATAGATACACATATTGCTAATGTACTGTAAGAGCATGAGAGATCATATTATTTTATTTTTTCCCCAGATAAAGCCACCAGCCCTTCCAACAGACAGGAAGACTGGGAGTTTATAATGGGATTCTGTGACCAAATCAATAAGGAACTGGAAGGGTATGGTCATTAACCAACAATCTCCCCCCTAACGTGGAGTCACGTCCATCTAATGTTGCTAATCTGTGTTAGCAACAGTTAGTGCAGACTTTAAGTGGTTTGTATTAATGAGTTTTTGTTCTTCATTTTATAGCCCTCAAATATCCGTTAGACTGCTGGCTCACAAGATTCAGTCCCCTCAGGAATGGGAGGCGATACAAGCATTAACGGTCTGTAGTAAAATAACTTCACTTGAATTCAAAAACAAACTTTTTATAGTGGAAAAAATATATTTATCTCTGGTTGGTTTCTTTTCTAGGTTCTCGAGGCTTGTATGAAAAACTGCGGGAGACGTTTTCACAATGAAGTTGGGAAATTTAGATTTTTAAATGAATTAATTAAGGTGGTTTCACCCAAAGTAAGTATCATAGATGTCAATGTAATGGTGATATGTTTTCTTGAACTGAAGTTTGGTGTAATTCTAAAGCTGTGCATTTATCATTTTTCAGTATCTAGGAGATAAAGTATCGGAGAGAGTGAAGACAAAAGTGATCGAGATGCTGTACAGTTGGACCCTGTCTCTACCAGATGAAGCAAAGGTCTTTGAAGCGTATGAAATGCTGAAGTCACAGGGTGAGACTCTTTTTAAATTGTTAAAATATGCTGGTGAGGATTTGGACACAATATGATTGCATAACAGTGACATCCAAAAATAATTCACCCTGCTTTGATATTTCGAAACTGTCATTTGTAGTGTAAAGTATGTGTTTGTTGTCATGTTTATTTTAGGTATTGTCTTAACTGACCCAGAAATCCCTCTCGATGCTACATTAATACCGTCTCCTTCTCCACGACCCAAGAATCCTGTGTTTGATGACGAGACGAAGAGCAAGGTAAGAGTTATTATTTTGGGATGTGAACACTGCAACTCGCTCACTGTTCATGACTCTCTCTTGTTTTATCTATTTTATAGATGCATAGTTTTAATGCAGTGTTTATTGGCCCAGTGTAGATAATGTTCCTCTGTAGTTCAAGGCGCCTGCGTATTTTTGCCGTATCTCTAAAATCATCAGTAATGTGAAATAGTTTGACATTTTTGGAAAGACCATTTTATGAGAAATGTAATCCTTAACAAATGTGCGTAATCTACCGGCAAACTTTCATAGTGATATACTTTCATGTTTTGTTCATTTTTTTATGAGAGTTGTTATGGCAGGATTTTCTCACAAAATACTGTCCACTGCGAGGCTTTAAAGGATCAAAAGTTTTTTTTTTTATTGACTTCTATAGCTTGTTTTATTACTTATTGAAGATTGTGGAAAAAAAAAAGATACATCATATTTATTAATGTGTATACACGACACTAAAAAGAGCTCACGTTTTTCTTATGGCTCTAATACCTCACTGGTTACGTCACAGCGAAACAGGTCACGACTGAATGTTGACTGCAGTTGATTTATGAGTTAATTTTGTTTTTTCAGATCTGAGAGGTTGTACGGCTTTGCTGTTCGTATCTGGACAAACTGTGGGAAATGAGTTTTGAGTGTCTTGGTTTTTTTTCACTGCAGAGATTAGCTGAGCTGCTGAAGAGCAAAAAACCTGAGGATCTGCAAGAGGCCAATCGGCTCATCAAGAACATGGTTAAGGAGGTGTGTCAGTGTCAAATGAAATGGTTAACAATTGCTATTTTTAATTCATTTTCTGAGGCTTTCTTTTGGAAAAGTTGGAATCTAAATGTCAGACAAATGTAATGAGTGCTATTAACAAGTGCACCTCAACTTTTGCTCCTTTCCCCAGGACGATGTCAGAACACAGAAAGTGACGAAGCAGAAAGGCACACTGGAGGCTGTAAATACCAGCGTCAAACTCCTTAACGAGATGCTCGCTCACTTCAGCCCGAACGACTCCACGGACGGAGACAAGGAGCTCATTAGGGTTAGTTCCCCATTAGTGCAAAAATGACCTTTTAGAAACATGTAAAAACTTGGCTATGCAGCCCCAAAGCAGCATTTAAACTTGCAGCAGTAAATGAAAACGGCATCATTCTGAGACTCTTCATTAAAAGTGGGTAGGTAACATTGAAGAAGTCAGCAAGAATAAGCTTTTTTTAATTATCTAACCAAAGCCCAGCCTAGTGTTGTCAAGTCTTTCATTAAAAGTAGCTGGCAGCATTAGGTGCAAAAGTTGCTAAATCTAGTGTAATAGTTAATTAAAATATAATTCAGGCCCAAGAAATGATTGGAATCACATGGACAGTGTGGTGCCAGAGCTACCAGATTGTTCACTTTTTTTTTTTTTTATTGATTGCTGTCGGTATGTTAAGAGTGAACAGATAAAAACATAAAATAAAATAAATTAACATTAACCAACCTAGCTTGAATTGCCAGGTTTGTTTAAGAATGATTCAAGTGAATACATGTAAAATATAAAGTAAACTGCCCTAAGTAATTAAAAAATATATAATACATTTTCATAGTAAATAATAACACACTAAATAAAGTCTTAGTTGACATATTTTATTTAAGAGAAACACTTTTCTTTTCATATCCTAAGACACAGCAGTTTCTGAAATGAGATTCAAGGTATGAATATACTGTGATTTCTAATTATCTCCTAGGAGCTGTATGCTGATTGCGACAAGCTCAGGCAAACCGTGTTTCAGCTCGCTACTGAGACGGAAGATAATGACAGCAGCTTGGGTAAGAAATCCTGTAATTTTGCCCGTAGAGAGTCTGATGAACTACTCTCGCTATCCTAATTTAAGTTTGAAAGGTTTGATTAATGAATGATCATGCGGATGTAAGCCCAAAATCCTGTCAGACCAGAACGGCCACTCGTCATTATGCTCACACTGATTCTTCATTTAGGAAACACTGTGGATTTTTTAAATAGTTGTTTATCGGTTGTAAACTGCTGTCTAACCTTTGAAATGCTCTTCTCAGGAGACATCCTGCAGGCCAGTGATGACCTCTCACATGTCATTAATTCCTATAAGAGGATTGTGGACGGACAGCTCATCAATGGAGAGACCGCAGAAGCACAACAAACACAATTATCAGTCAGACAAGGTACATTTAATTAGTCTGAGCAGGGATTTGTATGTCCTCTTTGTATGTTTACAGCATTATAACAAGCCTTTGGCCATTCCCTTTCTGGCATTTCTTAAGAGAAGCAAGAAAGCAAAGAAATCCATTGTTCTCTGTGAGAGTTGTTCACAGCTGGGTCTGTTATTATGTTGACAACTACTAGAGCATTGTTCAGGAAACAAACATGTATTTTGAACTTTTTAAATGTCACTTTTTGCACTCAATTGGATCCGAAAAAAAGGATCTCAACCCTCGCTAAAGAAAAATGCCCGAAATAAATCTGCATGTCTAAATGACTCGAGGGATACATGTTGGTGTTAGTTTACATACTGTATGTCAGAATCCTTTGTTTGTCCTGCAACGGGGAAATGTAATGTATTCAACAGCATATTAGTTAAAAAGAGTAGAGTTACATATTACATAAAAAAAGTAGGCACATGTTATTATTAATAAAAACACAATAAGTAAACATAAGTTCACCATGGTTAAAAAAACTAAGAAGCAGAATAGTTAAAATTAAAAAAAAAAAGACTATAAAAAAAGTAGCAAGTACTGTTTACAGATGGTGTATTCCAGTCTATGTGTGTGTGTCGGGTTAACTAACTCTACCAGATGGGTGGACACGCACACACAATATTGCTTTTTATTTTTGAATTATTATTTAAAGGGGTGCATGGCAACGCGAGGCTCAGCATCTCAAATTGGCGATGATCTACCTTAAATTGACTACATCTTTGATTTTTTTCTCACTCCCCATGTTTTCTCTACCTGACATACTCAGGTGGCACGAACCAGTCGGAGATTCTGATTGACCTGGTGGGTCTGGACACACACAGCGTCTCTCTACCAGAGCAGCAGCCCCCCATGTCCTCTCTCTCTCTTCCGGCTGACCTGCTGTGTGGGTCTGCTGCTACAGACCCTCAGTCCCCCAGCCCCAGTGCCCCCTCAGCAGCCCTCTCTCTGCTGGATGAAGAGCTACTATCTTTAGGTAACATGCAATATCATGTTTTTTCTTCATGGCAGCATTAGACATCAACTGTTTTAGATTCACAAATAACCTTTGTTGTGTTCATTTACAGGCCTGAATGAACCCGCTCCTGTTCCAAGTAAATCAACGCCAGTAAACCTGGGGAATGATTTGTCATTTTTACAGGTATTTAAACTAATTGCAATAATTTGGACTAATGTTGACTTATTCTTATTCTTTATTAGGATCCCCATTAGCACTAGCATGAGCATTGGCTATTGTGTCCTCACACACAAAACATACATAAACATACATAAAACAAAAACAAAACCGCTCATAATTTCATGCAATTTACAGTACTACTGTATATGAAGTGAAAACTAAAATGGTCATCCAATTTTAGCTATCATAAGAAAAATACAAAGAATTGTACATAATAATACATACATACCCACAGGCACAGTTCAATTTGACTAGCAACCTTTTGAAATGTACTTTTGACTATTATTTTAATGGTAATAGCAGTGTCTTTTTATTGCTGTGTTTTCCAGGATTCCAGTCAAGATTTGGATTTCTTTGACACCACTTTGCCTTCCAATCCTTCGTTCTCTACATCTTCACTTTATCCAGACGCTCTTTCTGTGACCGTTGCAGGAATCTCAGCCAAGTCTTCTACAAAAGCCTCTGCCTTAAGCTTCCCTGGTACTGTTTTCTCCACTCCTCCTGTTTCTACGGCATCTGTCTCAACAACATCAATCATATTCCCACAGCCTCTCAGCTCAGTGTTGACCACCACAGCACCGGCTGCTGCTCTTCCTCAGTCCTTCATCATGGCCCCGCCTGCTTCCTCAGCCACTACTGTCTCTCCACAATGGGACTCCACTGGAGCGTCACACACCACTTCAACTTCTCTTATTAACAATCTGCAAGACTTTGGCTTTCTGGATCTGGGCAGTCCTAACATGTGAGTAATGCGTGTGTCATGAGGTAAAACTAGGGTGGAAATGGTTATTTAGTAAAGAATGTTATCGACCAGAATGGGAAAAAATGTCAAAACCAAAAACACGATTTACAAATAAGCAAAAGTAAGAAACAGACACATTTGTAGAGTGCAATTAAATACAGTTCAGTGCAAATTCCAAAGATAAATGTTTACATTCTGCAAGGGTCAGGGCAAGGGTGTGGCCCCCCCATCCTTATCTATTGATTTAACAGTTTAACTGCGCTTGGGACATATCATTTGTTGTCGACATATTTTATGTTGTGGCAGTCTGAAAGGTCTTCCTGCGGGAACATAGATCAGCAGCAATCTGTCTATCTGTCACTCATAATATATTGGATGCTGGATTATATTTACTCTGATGCCTGCATGGGGGTCTAACGTTTAAAGGCACTTTTATGTCTATTGAGATGCTCAACAGTATGACATTTCAACTGCTTTCAATCATAAGTTTCCAAAAGGCAGAGTGATTGGCAGGACTCCATTGCCTCCACTAAATAAGCAGTATTGTAAAAATGGCTGAGAGCCGATAGTAAATTGTGAAAGCTTTGAAGAATACTGTTGAGCGTTTAAGTGCCATTGTGTTCTCTATTGGAGTAAAATCAAATGTTTTTGCATTCCACCAATGTCTAAAAAAACCTGGTTGCAAAGTGTTTTGCTTCTTTTTAACTTGTTTTTTTTACCAATGTTTGTCTGACAGCATATGTTGAGGCATTATGGCACCTGTAATATCTTTGACAAAGACTTGAATTATCCACACAGCACATCGGGGGTGATGGACGTTGGCAGCTCTCTGGTCAGGAGCGAGGATCTGCTTGCTCCTGCTCTCCCCTCTTCCAGTCTCTCCAGCACGTCCCTCATAGAAGTGATGCAAGGAGGGTCCATTCCCCCCCCGGCCAAGTGTCAGGCAGATGACAGCCCTCTGTTACGCTCACTGTCCCCCGTCCTCCCTCTGAGCCAAGAGGTGTCCCTGGCCAATGTCTTTGTCCCTTTGGAGGCCATCAAGCCAAGTGAGTACCATATAATAAGCAAGTTTGTTTTTGTGTGTGTGTGTGCCAGTGGATTTTGATGTTCTTCAGCACAATACTTAGGATAGGGTTGACGGACAAACGTTTGAGAGGAAATTGCTTTTTCAGCCCTTCAAATATCCTTTGCTGTGTGTGTGTGTGTAAAACTCAGATGTTTTGGGGTCTATTATATCTGAAAATGTCATTTTCACTGAAATGGCCAAATATTTTTCACAATGTTTCAGAGGTAGAGAGAGAATAAGGTTTGCATTGGACAGGGCAGACACACTTCAGAGCACATTTTATCTCCTTGGCCAAAAAACAAATATAACAGATTGAATGTGTCCGGCTGTCCACAGATTTTAGTGTTCAAACAGGTGGGCCGCCCAGTCGTACATTTGCAATAGGCTTTACAATCTTTAAAGCTGTATAAAAATGCATTACTGGGGTACCAAAATACTTATTGGAATTGGTTGTTAGTCTTAAAGGAACATCTTTGGCCGGTCTCCCAGACCTGATAGAATACCCTGTGGAGAGGGTAAAGAGATTGAAAAGGCTTGAAGGAAAAGTTCATATGAATATAGTAGAGGTAATTTGATAAACTCTGAATATCAGAAAAAAGGCAATAGAAAGTAAAAACCCTCCGCTTTTTGAGAACATTTGATGGATGGAAAATTGAGCTGTAGCCATAATGCCCCTTAGTGATGACATTGGCAACTTTGTGAAACTAGAAAACATGTTCATTAGGGTCTGAAAGCATTTATTATATCAGGTGCAAAATGAAAGACCTGCGTCAGAGCCTTCAGTAAGATGGTAAATGTAGGAGCTTGTTTATTTATAAAGACTCTAAGCTTGGTACAATTTTTGTAATAATCACATTTTGCTTTTTCCCTTTGTGTGCTGTTTTTTTAGGTAAAATGTGTCCCGTTACAGCATATGACAAAAGCGGGGTCCGTGTTCTGCTGCATTTCGCCACTGACAGTCCAGCAGGTAGACCTGATGTACTGGTGATGGTGGCCTCCATGCTTAACACCGCCCCTCTGCCAGTGAGGAACATTGCTCTGCAGGCTGCTGTACCCAAGGTAAACCATTCTGTGCCTCTGTGATAAAAATGTTACTGCATATCAAGCTACGCTGTGTGCATTTATATCTAAAAAATTCACATTGGCAGATGTTTGACTCATAAACTCAATATTTGACCTAAAATGAAATTATTGTGGGTGGCTACATCTTTCTAATGAATATGGAAATCTGTTCTGCTACCACCAGACGATGAAAGTGAGACTGCAATCACCCTCAGGGACAGAGCTGGCTCCTTTTAACCCGATCCTTCCACCTGCTGCCATCACTCAGGTCATGCTGCTTGCAAATCCTCTCAAGGTAAATCTTAGCCTGGAGCTATTTGTATGTTTTATACTTATTTCAAAGAACACCGTCTTACTTCAGAAGGGTCTCGATCTATCACATCGAGACAGACGAGGCAACGTGTTAACACTGCAGGAACAGAAGTCACAGGTGGCTGCTGAGTCGAGTGCGACACCTAGTGGTGAAATTCGGTATTCCGGTGTTGGGCTTGATATCATACTTTTACCATTTTCTAACAGTCTTACATGCCAAACAGTATACTGAGGATATAAAGACCACTGACATTAACACTACACTTGCTCTTGTGTGCTCCAGCAAGCAAACGAAACCTGCAAAGCTAAGTGTCTCCACGTGTGTGTGTGTTTTGCAGGAAAAGGTTCGGATGAGATACAAACTGACATTCAAGCTGGGAGAGCAGCCACACTCAGAAGTGGGGGAGGTGAATGAGTTTCCACCGGCTGACAGATGGGGGGCTCTATAACTCGGCCTACCGACACTACAGGTTTTTTAGCAATTTAGTTTGTCAGTGCAGCTCAAAGGTCAAGAGAAGGGCGGTATTGGAAAATTGTTTTTAGGGAGAATTGGAGAAATACAACATATTACAGCAAAGTTCAATGGACCTTGAAAGAGATATTTAGCTTGGGATGGCCCACTGAAGTAGCCAGGCCTGTAGCATACACATACATCCAACTAAAACGCGACAACATGGCCAGAGGTAGTTGATGTGGTGCAGTAACAAATGTTTTGGAGCAGTTAAACATGGAGGATGTTTAATTGTGAAAAACATTGATAAGGTAAATATTGCTAAACTTGATCCTTTAGGATTGTACATGTATTAATATACTTTTCTTTCTCTCATTAAATGTTCCTATTTACTTCCCCTCAATGCCAGACAGTCTTGATATATAGCAAAAGCACATGTCGAAGGATATTGTGAACCAGGGTGATGTGAACATGTGATCACAACCTGCATTACACATGATTTGCTGCTGTCTGTGTATGATAACATGGTTTCACGCTGGAGACATTGAACTGAAGCAGACAAGAGCCCCTCTGTTGCTAAATGAGAGGCCCTCCCTGATTGACTCATTAGGAATTGTTCATCTTAGTTGACTTTCTTCAATATGCCTCACAGTAACTACTGAATACTTTTACTTGTCTTCTGAGTTCTATACTAACTCCTAGCTTAGACTTGTTATGTTTTTTAGTCTTTAAGTATTTATTGACATGAATGTATTATTTATTTTAGTTTGGGAGGAAATTGTCAAATCTGTTACTGTCCTGTACGGTATTGCAATTGACAGCTGTATTCCTTCTGCATACACATCTTATGATGAACACTTTCAGTATTGCAGTATGAAAGGCACAGATCAGTAGTGGGCTATCTAAAGAGGCTTTGATGTTACCAAATATTCAGACAAAAATATGTTACAGAAGGAATTACGTAACTTGTTAGATGTCAAGGCTGTGCAATCTGGATAGCATTTTAATATAAGAATGTATTTTTTCAATTGGCAAGCTTGTGCCAGACACATTAGCCCCTTTTACCTATTGGGTGCAACAAGAGATAATAGGAAGAGGGATCAATTGTATACTTTAAGTGGACAAGCTTTAGGAAGTGCTGACCAATTAACAAATAAATTGCTGGAGACAAACAAATATTGCTTGACGTTAAAACCGAGTGCTCTGCAAAGCTTCGCCCTTGCTTCTGCTGTTAGACCATGTAGTGGAAACCAAACTAAAGAGCTGGGGTATTTGCTCTTGGTCAACTGTAAATGTTTAGCTTTTGTGGGGGTTTCCTATATCAAACTAGGAATATATTTCTATATTTACGTAAGCGATGAGAAAAATACTGTGTATCAATAGTTAAACCTTGATGGTTAATTAAAGCATTGTGGTTACCATGTGTTCATCAAAAACTGTGACTCCTTTTATTTTTGTCAGTTTGGGGCTTTTAGTGCTAGACAGGAGAGTCTCTGCATATTTCTTATACAACTATTTATTTGTTTTTTATTGTCATAATGAACTTGTCATTGCATATTTTTTTGAAAAACGTTCTGTGCATGGGAAAATAAAGAATGAAATAGATCCGTTTGTATTAAATTATCATGTATTTTTGTGTAATTTTTCAGTGTCCATGTTTTATTTTTGTAGTTTATTTGAAAATGTATTTAAAAATGGTTGTAAACCCAAAATAAGTGTGAAGTTAAAAGGACCTGATTACAAAAAAATTACTTGCTTTCATTGTGGTGCTTGTTTTAATTGTGTGCAGGGACGAATATTAATGCATTAGCTCATTTACCATAACGTTGTTGAGGTGTATTTTCACGTATATAATACTTTAACTATTACAGGTAAAAAAATTTAAAAAAAAGATCTACATGTAGCAGAATGATCCCTGTCATTATTATATTCTTTATCAAAATCCTGGATTGGTATTGATGATGCATTAACATCTGCAATGTTGATATTATTGCTGGTCAAGTTTTAGCTAATTGTCAGTATTTCATTACTTGTTGGTATTTGGTCATATTAGTCTTGTTATTTTAAATGTAAATCTGACTAGCAACAAATAACTATGTCCATCAAATCGATTTAGTTCAAAGCAGTGGGCTATGCTTTTATTCCTCAAGTAGCCTCCTATTTAATTTCTGCCAATATTTAAACACAGGGTCCATGCAGAGGAAATACATATTTAATACATTACATTAAAAGTGCGCTCAGTTGTTTTGGCTGTGTGCACCAACCCAAGCAAAGTGGCGCGCCGGACAAACGGCGCAGCCGCAGCATAACAGGCGCAGGCAGACAGACGCAGCAACAGCAGAAGCCATGGCAGACGAAAAACCCAAGGTGAGGAGCGGATTTTCTACCGGCTTTTATTTACAGCAATCCATATGCCATAGTTGTAGACCGTTCACTGAAATGCCACATCTGAGGCGAATTTGTCAACGCTCGCATAATTAAAGCACAAACCAGAGCTACCGCGTTAGCTAACAGCTAGCTAGCAAGCGGGCGAAGTTAGCATAATAGGCTAACATGGCTAATGTGCCTGAGACTCGGGCTGTTTGAAATGTAAATTAATTTCCAGAGCTTTTTTGAATACAATTTAACCAATACATCATAAATGCCACTTGTGATCTAGTCACTACATGTCCAGGTAACCTTTGCAAGAACCGAAGAAAAGTGAGTAACGTTGGGGAGCAGTGCACAGCAGCACCGGGCCTAAATCAATTGTTTGATACAAACCGTTAACTATCAGCGGATCTCGTATGAAATGATCATAATCATCACCAGCAAGCGCCCGAGTGTCTCGGGATTACAGGGTTGTTAATACGTGTCATTTGTTATTTACCACTCTGACTATTCCATTAAGCATTGTTATACATTGTAGGCCATTCTCGATTGTTTAATGCTAATGCTAAATGCTAACGTTGAAGTTGTAATGTTGCTCCTTTTTCAGTGCTAGCTAATCCCCAGTCCAGTCAAAGCTAATGTAACTTAAACTGTGGTAAAAATGTAAATCACACACATAATGGGAGTACTTTATACATACATTTGGCACAATTAATTGAGGTACATAATGTACATCAATCTTACATAGTCTGACCAGGGGTGAAATGTTTTGGTTAGGGGGTCTCATTGCACATGTTGGAGTCCACAGTTGACAAAGCATCTTGTAATTTCCTTAAATCACTTCAATCAACCTAACGTTAAACTTCTGTTTCTGTTTTTTTTTTTAGGAGGGAGTGAAGACAGAGAACAATGAGCACATCAACCTGAAGGTGGCAGGGCAGGATGGCTCAGTGGTGCAATTCAAGATCAAAAGGCACACTCCTCTCAGTAAACTGATGAAAGCTTATTGTGAACGGCAGGTGAGACTACAACACAATTACTACAACTCCTCCAAAGATGTCATATTTAACTTTGCATTGCTGGTAGCCTGAATGGTGGTTTTAAACTGGAGACTAAGGACTCAGCTGAGGGAGGGGCAATAGAACATAATTGCTTCATTAATGGTAATGCTCATAACAATTATTCACTAGACTCCATTGTTCTCAAATGTGCATATCAGTTTATTGTAACTCATATTTCTATTGTCTTAATTAATTAAATTGAATCAAAAAATGATGTAAACAAAACATTGCAAAGCCAATTCTGTTATTACATTTATGGTACTTTGAGGTGTTGGCTTGCTAATTTGTCTATATTTGTTGCATACACTTGTAACAACAATGAAAGTGGGGCTCTCTAAGAACATCCCCTCTTAGCAACATGAACTTTCTTATTTTGCAGTTCATGGTCCGCACTTGAGTCACTAGGGTGCCCATAATGTTTCCTTTTAATATTTTAAACATAACATTTATTTTTCTGTCCACATAGGGGCTGTCAATGAGGCAGATACGATTTCGATTTGACGGTCAGCCCATCAATGAAACAGACACACCCTCGCAGGTAAGGTTTCACTGCTTTTCACCCTACTAACTCACAGTACTGCTACTTTGGACATTTTCTGACTGTTTTGCACGTTGTCAGTTTTCTTTGTTATAGCTATTCTTTCCAGTAAGCAAATAAGTATTTCATGAAAAGCATGTGATGAGGCAACAGGATTTAAAAGGTCTAAAGGTCCTTCTGAAAACCAAATAACGTCATTCTTAAATGCATAATACAAAAGTAAACAAAGTCCTCTCTGAACACCTGCTGTGAAGCTACTTTTTATAGTGAGACTGTCCTGAGAGTTTTCCTACTTTTGCGTCATCCCTTTCCAAGTGTATGTAATGTGTTACAGTTCGGATAAACAAGATCAGAGTCCAACTAATGGAGGAAAAAAATGAAACAAACTGAGTTGACAGCAGCACTAACAGCGGCTGTCATGTTTGAGCTACTTCTGTCAAATGCTTTAATAAGGCAGTAATGTGTCAAGTATGTAATACTCACAAAATATATTGTTCCACGCTAAGTTAGTTAAGTAGAAGCACTTGAATTGTTTTATTTTTTTTTGTCTTTTGATTTGAATACTTACAGACTATTAACTGACATTTTAACCTTGTCTTGCAGCTAGAAATGGAGGATGAAGATACGATTGATGTGTTCCAACAGCAAACCGGTGGCTTTTCTCTTTAAAGACTGTTTCCTACAAACATCCCTACCTCCCCTTTTCATCCCTGAACATCTTTGTTATGCCCAATCTTCAAATCTTCAAATCTTCATGACCAGTGTTGATACCATCCAGTGGAATACTTTTACAAAATGCTCCAAGGCAGCGGCACAGTTAATAGATTCATCCATAATGTCATTCTTATGTTAACATGTCTGAACTTTGCAGTGTAAGCTGCAGTGAGACTAATGTGCTGCAGATTTTAAAAGCTTGCCATGTTGATTTTATTTCTGGAGGTTTTATAGAAAACTCCTTGGTCCTTTTTTGTTTTTATACTTATGTCATTGAGTTTCTGATTCAGGTGGAATTTTATTGTGTTGTCAATTAAAGCCTGCAGTTAAAATTCACATCTGTTGTTATGAAAATGTATTATTGGAATAAATTGAGGGTTTTTTTTAAACAAGTGTCACTGTTTTTTTTATGGATATGTTTAAGCACCTTTTTACATATAGAATGCAAATGATCAGAAACCATTAACCGCTTTACCAGAGATTGTGTAAAAGTGTAATGTTCAGGGTCAAACTAAGGTAGTTTTAATGTTGTCATATGTAGTATAGGGTGTGAAGTTTGATTATTGTTTTCTACTTTTACTATAATGCAGTAAGCCCTGCTAATCAGCACTTGTTAACTGCAAACAGGCCTGTCAAAGTTTCAGTGCCTGTTATTTATCACTCCTGCGAAATAAAACTTTGAACCAGAAAGGATGACCTGCTTCCAATAAAGAGTGTAATCCCATGGTAGTTATCAATAATCCTTGCGTGGTAAATGTGTAATTCTCTGCAGAGTAGAATTTGTTTGTTCCCCAATTATCAAATTAATGTGGGCGCCAGACAGGAGAATAATCGAAAAGTATGCCTTTAATTAATTTACCCGGATCCAATCATAGAGTAGTTTATCACGTGTTGGTGGTACGTAGGTTGAAGATTAGAAATGCCATTTCAACACAGTAACTTCTGTATCAAACCCATGGATTATTTTACTGCATCCCTAGTACCAAACATAGGGTACCAAAGCATCTTTGGATATACTAAAAAGAGTCAGCCAGAAATGAGCACCGACAGACCGGATACACGATGTGTTTGCCATCAAATTACAATCAAAATGCGTCACTTCACAATAGTACGGGATCGTAGAGAAATAGCTATCAATCTCCAATGATGCACTGCGTAATTAAATGCATTACACATTTGATATGATCTAAACAAATCGCCCTAACCTTTTATTTAACAGGCCAATATGTTTTATTCTGAAAATTGGAGCGGAAGTGAACCACCTCCTTCTGGTCACTTGGACACTGGTGCTCTCAGACTGGAAGCAGCACGGTGATTATTTGGAACCACTGGCTAGGATAGACAATGATGAGGCGGTGAAGTGCAGCTAATGAAAGTGTAATTCGCGTGTATCTCTTCAGATTTATACATATTTAACGACTCCTAGTGCAACATAATGACGACGACGAAAATATATCAAGGGATGGAGCCTGGTTCTAAAAGCAGTTCCAGGTAAAAGACGACGTTCAGACAGTTACCCGTTAGCCAACATGATGCCAACAAGTCCAGCATCCTCTGATGTTATCATCAACGCTAACTTAACATAGGTTAACCTCAAAATGAAGACTTAATTTCCCGAACCCTTCCTGTAATTATTGCTTTTCCAACGCGAAATGCTCGAAACTAAGCATGGGGTGGCGATGCTAGGAAAAATCTTAGTACCACACCTTCCCGTTGTGTCTGTCGGGATGGACCATTTTTTAACGTTAGCAACATAGCACACATGTGCCCTCTCTTTTGTAGAGAAGCTTCTTAGCTAGCTAGTGCAGACTAGGCAACGCTAACACGTTTGTTTAATGGACAGCTCAATTTAATAATGATATATTCCTATTTTGCGTTTTTATTGTCTGAAAACTATATATGTATGGGGTGTCATTCCGGTTGGGTGGGGCCCCCATGGTTTTCAGATCAGTGATCGAGGAGACCAGTGAAGTACAATAAGACATCTTTCAGGTTTCCCTGCATGTGGCCGCATTGAGGCGAGGGCCATGTTACAGCTGGCTACACCTGACAATAACCCGGCCACATGTATATTTTTCATCATAGAGATGCAGGGAAATTAATCCCACATCCGGTGATATCTCGAAGACGAAAAACTGTCAGGATAAATAAATGAACGATTGAGATTGTAGTGATTTATGAGGTTAAGAAGGTGCATTTTCAATCATATCTAGACAGTCACATTGTTACAAGGCCAATGTTACAGTATGCAATTACTATTTTGTCTTGCTTTTTATAATTAGTTAGTTATTTATTAAATTATCAATATTGATATAAATATAACGATGTAAACAGTAAAATTGCCACCTTAAAGTATATAGCCAATACTTAGTTGTCTTGTCTTAGTTTATCAGGCACACCAAGTTCAGGGGTATAATGCAATATTGCTGCATTTACCAAGTAAAGATTTTCAAGGCTCTGGTTTGGGTGGTGTTGACTGTGTTGCATTATACTAATAAGTCTTTTTTTTAAATATAATTCTACCCTTGCTGATATAAATTGGTCTTACAAAGTATCCAAAACCGCTGCATTAATAATCACATTTCATTGTTTACATAATTCATATTTTCAGGGGAACAGCTGTAGCCCACATTCAAAACACACATAGACACATTATAGGAAATGCTTTTGTATTCCTTTAGTCACTTAAACTTACATTTGAAACATTAATGACGTGTTTGATGTGACCTTTTTATTTTGGCAGGGACCAACTGGTCTTTCCTCGCCACTTGAGTCTGGCTGTCGAGACAAAGATACTCGACATCCACTCTGTTGAGTTGAAACATTTGATAGACAGATTAAGTCATTACATTTTACCTAGGGTAGCAGGTTGTTAAATTATGCTTAACAAAAGTGTTAACCTTTGTTTATTGACACAAGTGTACAGGTGTAAATAAAAAAAGTATTTCTCACTGATTAATTCTGCACATCACATCATTAGTCTAAACCACAGCATTAGGTAGGTTCAAACATTTTACATTCATTTAGGATCTGGGAAAAGACTCTCCAGAACAATCAGCCAGTGTGATCCAGCTTTCAGGAACAGTTCTGACCATCTCTCTCTTTGCAGGATCTTGCGCCCTCCTGGCGGTGCCTCAAACATTTCACTTGGTCCAGATGGGGATAAGCCTCCCGTCCGGAAAAACAAGATGGCCTCCAGTGTTTTCGCTGAGCCAGAGGACCTCTATGCTAATCGGAGGAACAACCCACCAGGTACAATTGATCTCTTCTCTAAATATTAAAGCTTATTTAGTCATTTTCAGTTCCCCATTTTATTTTTGACGAGTTATCAAAACATTTACAGATGGTGTGACTAAAAAACTAAAGCAGAACACACACACCCAATGGCGATGACAAACAAAGTAGAGAATATTGTTTTGTCTTCAAAGGAGATACAAGGTGTTCTCTTGCTGCAGAACCAAACTGATTCTCTGCTAGTCAAAACCTGAGACAGCTGAATACATAGGAATAACATTTGCTGTGCTCAGTGCTGCTTCTTAACATTACATGTTTTAGGTGCTCACATGATGAGTTGATTTCTCTTTCAATCAGTAGATATTCAGTCAATGGTGTTTCTCCATTAATCCCAACATCTGTCTACGGCCATATTTACTAGGGCTGTGTGATGGCAAGAATAAAGAAATATCTTGAATCAGTTGTTTTGATTCAATAAATTACTGCAAGCAAGGCACTCATTTCATTTAAAAAAAATCAAATGTAAATATTTTAAAAAGAGTCAAAAGTCATGTCAAAGTACAAATAAGACCGCAACATGCATAAGATCTGAGTTATAAAGGTTGACTTTTCTATGCACTCAGAACAGTGGGTACTGCCTATGTATTTATTGCTGTAAAATCCAACATCAAAGTATTACATGGAGGGGGCGCATATTTTTGCAAATGTAATAGTAAAAGTATGTTTTTCTTCTAAGTCTTAAACTCCTACAGAGGATATTTAGTGACATTCTACGTGGTAACAGGCTGAACGCCTACTGAAGCTTTCTCACATTCCCCCTGACATTTCCTTCTTCATCCTTATTCCCCTCGCAATAAATTACATCAATGAGCTTTTGTCCTGACTGTAATTAAGTCTTTTACGACTAGGATCATAGTTTTTCTTTTTTTAACCAACCAATTTCCTCAAACACAATACGAAACCTTCTAATATTGCTTTTATTTTCACTTTATAAACACATTCTCACACAAATGAGGCCTTCATCTACTGTTCAAACAAACGCTGTATGCGGAAAGTAGTGAACAAAAATATACCGTATTTTCCTGTAAAAAATAAAAAAGGAATTACTAATGTTAAAACCAGTATTTAAAAACAGATTTTAAGAACAGCACTTGGGTTAATGTACTTATTTACTTTTAACCTCCATTAACTTCACTGTTGACAATAAAACCAAAGTTCCTGCAGACCAGAAAGTTTGATTTGAGCATCAAATGTAAATATATAAATATAGCTTACTTTTAAAACCAAAGTCAAAGTCTGTCAGCAGGACCTACTCGAAAAATGTTGTGGGTCGATGGAATGACATTTCAAAAATGTCAAAAGAAGACATTTAAATTGTATGATCTGATTTACCAATTCAGTATACAAGTGTGACCCAGATGCATTTACAATAGAAGAATACAGTGTCAAGGGAATGGATCCCACCAAGAAATAAAGATTGCATTCCAAATTCTCAGCTCATGAGAAAAATGTGCTCCAAAAACAATTTGACCTTTTGTGGGCAATACGCCTCAGTCCATTAAGCGGTGACGCAGTCCTCAGTAGGTTATTGTGGAATAATCCTACATGCTGTGCGGATAAGAAAAATAAGTTCAAATGGATCTCCAAATATACTTGGGAGGCAATTAATATACCTAGGTGGTCCATGTGAGGTTTATATCTGGGAAACACTGACATTGACTGGCCTTGTTTAGATAAGGACTGGAAATAAGCCTAGGATCAAAAACTAAGCCAAAACAGACATGAAGAAAAAGCAGCAGGAAAGGACATGTATTCTTTTTTTTCGATTAGACCATGTGAGTTATTGTCAGAAACCCATTTAATAAGAAAGTGGAACCTTCAAAATCGAAAGCACAAAAAGAAAATGAAGGAGTAAATGTAGGAGGAACTTGCATACAAGGAAATGTCCAGCACAATGTGGGTCATGAGGTCATCCCATTAGGTCATTGGATTGCATTTGTCCCACAAACAATATCCCCAGTTGTGTTTTAATCGTTTCTGGGAAATACCTCATACCATGGAAAAACCCGGAGGCAATGCTCTTGCATTTCATTTGGACATTTGAAGGACATTTGAGTGCTTTTTGTTTACTCTTTTGAAAAGATTGTAGAAACAGCTTTATTTCCTGTGATCATTTGATAACCAAAACAAATGCCCTGTTAATGGAGCTTAAGCTTCAATGTAAATGTTGCATATTCACCAGCCATTAGAGCAGGGGTGTCCAAACTACGGCCCGGGGGCCAAATGCGGACCGCGGACCATTTTGAATCTGCCCTCAGCAAATTCTAAAAGTATAATGTAATACGGCCCACAAATGAAACTTGTGCCTGTGTTATATTGTACTTCTTAAATATATATGTAAACATACACATACACAGTAGTATTCATGTGTTAATAAGCCCACTTTTCAAATAAATTCAGTCAACTAAAGTTGGAAACATTTTCTAACAAATCTTAGTTGATACAAAAAACGCCCAATAACTTATTTACCTAACAAGCTTGAAATATACCCTTCATATTTCCCCTTATTATGAGCAATCTGAGGGATGAGCTGCCAACAAAATAAATGAAACCCTATGGAGAGCTGTGATATAAGCTGTCTTTTTCTTAAGGCATTTTCAAGTATCAAGCATAATTGACCTACATTTGATCAATTTTCCTGACGTATAACTTAACTTATGAGGCAATGTACATCTAGTGACTGGCCCAGCCCTTCGTATATTTTTCTGTATGTGGCCCTCGGTGAAAGAAGTTTGGACACCCCTGCATTAGAGCAATGTATGATTTTTAGCTTGTCAGTCTTTGTGTTTGTCCTCATGGCAAGATGTGGATCTGGAAACCACTGCTGTAGTGGGAACTACATTGTAGAGAAAACAAGTTCTTTGCCAGGTGTTTATATTTTGTCACTGCAATAGTGTCCAACCATACAAGATGCAGTCACAAAACTTTACAGATGATTTGAGAACAAATTTGAGTTTAGGTTCATACTGTAATTAATACTGTTATATTTTTGGACGAAGTGTCTGTAATCAAACTAAAGCTGAAAGTGTCTGCTATCTGCAGCAGCAGACTCGCGCCACAGAGTAACAGGACTCACTCATCATGAATTTGGTGTAATTTTTCCTAGATTCAAACTCAATTTTCATAGGGAACCTGATAAAGTTTACCCTAACTCATTTAACAAAGTTATTTGCCATAACATTTCAGGTGATACACTGCCCTTAGATCAGGAACATTGTAATTATTGTACGAGTAATATAAAATTAAAGGAAATGTTATATGCTCTAGTAACAACGCATTGTTTTTGATAGCTATAATCGTTTTCATCAACAAAAAGTATTGTACTTGCCAATGGTAATTTACTCAGTTTAGCCAAACCTATTTGGTTGAGGAAATGTATCATACAATGATCAGATCAGTACATTTGTCTGTGTAAAATAATTGAGAATGTATTACATTTAATCTTTGCACCTACTGTGTAATGGCATTTTAATCTGAGCAATCATGTGTCCTTGTTCTTCCAGGTGGGAAGCCCACAGGTGTGCTTTGTGGAGAACCGTCAGCCCCCCTGAGGAGAGGAGGGAACCAGGGCAGCAGCCCCTCTGCAGACAATCCCGTAAGATCATGCATGAGATCATGAGCTTTGGTAGTTAAAAATGAAGTGAAACCTTAGGGCAAGCAAACATATAGGGAAGCAAAAGAAGAAGAATGTATATTTGTCTGTCTTCCTCTTCCCTTATTGTCCCACAAAGGTCACTTGTGTATTCATTTCTGACTTTCTTTTTTTTTAGGACGGAGAAAATTATCAATTTGATTATGGTAAGCAACTGTTATTTTCTGGTCACATCACACAGTTTTACCTCTGGTTTTATAGACTGTAAACCAGGGGTCCGATATTACATACAACATTTGGATAAATATCACAAAAACAACACGCATACATTGTTGATACCTGTCATAGAAATAGATGGTACAATAGTGATAGTAAAATTCTATTTCTATGGTACCTGTACACATACATACAGTCATTGCCTGTGCATAAACACATACATATAACCACACGCATACACATCTATTTTTGTGACAAGTCCATGGTGAATTTTCCACTGTTAATGTTTTGAATTTTGAACTTCATATGTTTAGACAACAGTGCCCCGGAGCCTGAAGCGGTTGCAGAACAGAAGGAAGAGAGTCCTCCAGCAGACGATACTGCCGGGGGACATCCCTCTGGCCGTAGAAATCCCCCTGGCGGAAAGTCCAGCCTCATCCTAGGATAAATCCCTAATGACCCCGCCACCCCCCGTACCCCCTTCATCTACTCATCTCTGAACTTGTCTCTATTTTAATTATTTATTTTTTAACAAGGAATACCGTCCCATTTGTCTGTACTGCAGTAATTCTTTCTGATGTCCAACAGACACCAGTTACCTTCACAACCCCCAAGTGCATTGTTTTGATACTTCTTTTATTAAGGTCGTTTTGTACTGTTTTTTATTGTTTGTTTGTTTTGACAGAAGCACTTTATGTATTTCTATGGACATGTTTCAAATAGTCTGCCTTTGCCCCTGTTACGCATTAGACATGGCAGACAGGGTACAAAGATCATATTTCTCTTATCAACATCTCCCCTTGATTATTTAAGACAGCATGAGCTGTATGTGATTATACAAGCAGTTTCCAGAACACAAGCAAATTCAAAAGCTGTCACTTTTGCACTGTGTTCAGTTTTGATCCATCTTGCATGCACGTCTGGTCTGTAAAGTATGAATGTGAGAAGAAACGTAACTGTGAAGATTTTTTTATTGATTTAACCTGTTTGTTTTTCTGTGGAATAATTGTTGTATTGTTGTTGCATGAAGTTGGAATCTTTCTACTGATTATATTATCATCCACTAAGGAGCCAAATATGAGTCACATAAATTACTGTTATTGTGATCTGAAGGATGCAAACATTAGTCTTCAGATGAGTACTGTAGGTCCCATGTCAGGTAACTGAATTGGAATAAGCCCTTTTTATATTGTAGTCACTAGGCCTAGATAACTGTAACCCCAGTGCCGGTTTTGAGTGCCCCATGTTTTTATAGGTGATTTTACTCTACAACAAAGTGTGCCTGTTTTGTGTGTTAGGCTACAGCATCAAACAAGGTTGGGTTTCAAGATTTGCATCAAACGTGCGTCAACAAGGCCTAGTTTTTCCATTGTGGGTCGATGGAATGTTGTTGATCCTGAAGTGTTTCTTGTAAACCCATCCTGGATTTGAAAAGTGACCTTATGAAAGCTCTGCCTTTTTTCTATGTTCAACACTGCTTTTACTTTTGTCTATTATTCTTCTCAATGGAATTATAGAAACAAATCTTTTTATACATTTCATTGTCGCATTATTTAACCAAAATTCAAACTCCCTCCTGCTTCTGTCTTGTTGAGTCACGTGTGTGACTGCCGTATCAGCCTGCCGTCATGGCAGACGACCTACATTTCAGGTACATGAAATGTAATTTCTGTGGTGTCTATTTTTAACGTCTGTTATGATGCAAGATATCTCTGTTTGCATCTTATATCAGTTCCTGTTGCTGGATGTAAGTCACTGCAGAAAATTGAAATTAAGAAATGGCACAAGTGTTAAAAGAACATTAAATAACCATTTTGACCATGTTTTCTGTGTTTATTGTACTTTTTTAAAATTATTACAATGTAGAAATTATGGTTGTTTTACTGCAGCTCTTTGTAGTTTTACCCTCCAGCTAAAATGTTATGAACTAAAAAGACAAGGTTAACATTTAGATTTATGATAAAGTTGACAGGGAAAAGTTGTGAATCATCCATAAAGAATAACCATTGTAAAATGAAGGCTATATTGGCAAGCCTTTTTTTAAGCAATTCGAATTAAAGAAAAGTAGAGTGGACCAAAGTGTTGTTCAAATAACTTTGTCATTCTTTTCTTAAATGTGTTCAGTGCCACAACTGCGCGAAAGCACCTACAAGCCAGTGTTGATGTAGCCTATACCCTGTAGCCCGCCCATCTATTCAGAATGAAAGTGAAAGTTGTGTTTGAAGCTTGCAAGCACTCGATGCAGATGTCAGATAAACGAGGGATCCACCGACAAGAGAAGTCGCCTTCTAGAGGAGCGTGTGCGGTGAGTTTGACGTGGCATTTTGTGTTATATTGGCGACATCATGGCATGTCGTGTTATGTAGGCAACGTGTTGCTACATAATGTAGCTAAGTTAACCTCCATTAGGATTTTCTTCGATTTTTTTCGATAGTGGCATAGTGTCCTTTAAATACTGTATTTTTAACGTACGGAAACGATAGTGTGTGTATGATATGTTTCTGGAATGATGTGTTAATTGTTTCTATGTTTACGGGGAAAGTCGATCTACTCAATGCCCTCGTGAGCTCAACCTCGCTCCAAATACAGTAGCCTATAGCTCCACTGGTAGGCTATACTTAACATGACCCCAAACTCTTCTACACCTAAAACCTTTATAAAATACCAAAGTTATGAATGTTTTACAGTGCTTCCTCTTTTATTCTCTAGATAACTAATACGGAACAGACACGTCCGACAAGTTACAATATGTGCATACACAGCACAAGCGTCACAACAGTAAGCTGACATAGACGTTGTTAACTTAGACTTAAATAAACAATGCACAATGAAGTTGCTTGTAGCCTTTGATTTCCACACAATATGTTTGTCACATTAAATTCAACAATACAAGTATTATATCACTTTGAGATATATGAAGTCTGTTTGTACTATAATAATAATAATATAATAACAATCACACAATTGTTTTTGTTATTTAAAAAACGTTGTTGCCATAACTAACACAGTGGTAAACGTTTAGGTAGAGAAGCCTTGCAGAATCAAAACTGGGCTACTTCAGACACCTTTGCTGTTAGATACTGGTAGAATAGTGCAGTATTGCATGTGTTTACTTTATATGTAATACTAACGGCCACTCTCTTTTTATGTATGTTAGTTTATGTTGGAATAAATGTCTTATTGAAGGCAGTGTTACTAACTAGTGGGACTTTCAATTGCCATTTTTTTTAAGTTGAAGTGAGTGTTGCATGGGCTATCAAGACATCAAAAGTCATCATCACCATGGTTTTTGCTGTTTTGACAGAGGTAAAGTTGCACAAATTCAGGAAATGATGAAAGTGAGGACTGAATTCTAGATCACTGTTTATAAATATTTCCTGACTTTAAAACGCTCTTCAGTAAGAAGAGGGGTTGATGCAGGGTTCGAGTTATATGGGAGCTGAGCTCCCATAAGGAGGGTCTGAGCTCCCATGAAAGCAGTTAAATCATACATCTGTGGGGGTCGCTAATACATTACCAACAACAACCATTATTTTAATCACAAATAATGCATGTGTCAATGTAATGAGTATTATTTACATTAACGAGGTAAATAGGCTAAAATAAAAAGGTGTTTTCCAAAAGAACTACGCATCGTATGCTCTCTTGAATGACAATATGCCTGCACTTCATCTCCAAGGTGCGCAATAAATTATTGCGCAATCTATGCCTGTGAGCGTGCTGGCAAGTAGAGGTGTGTGTGTGTGTGTGTGTGTGTGTGTGTGTGTGTGTGTGTGTGTGTGTGTGTGTGTGTGTGTGTGTGTGTGTGTGTGTGTGTGTGTGTGTGTGTGTGTGTGTGTGTGTGTGTGTGTGTGTGTGTGTGTGTGTGTGTGTGTGTGTGTGTGTGTGTGTGTGTGTGTGTGTGTGTGTGTGTGTGTGTGTGTGTGTGTGTGTGTGTGTGTGTGTGTGTGTGTGTGTGTGTGTGTGTGTGTGTGTGTGTGTGTGTGTGTGTGTGTGTGCGAATTATGTTCATCAACGACCTTTTTTTCCATGAAGAAAACGAGACGATGACGAGTGTTAGTTTTAAAGACCCCCATAAAGCTTAGATTATAACTCGAACCCTGGGTTGATGGAATAAGAAAAGATACTTTTTTATTAAGAGGTCAACATTCTGAATATTGGATCTGTTCTGGTACATGGCTAAGGCATATAGCATATAACCATATTGTTTTCACAGCCCTGTCTTTCCACTAATAATAATAATAATAAAGATTATTATTATTAATATCGTCATACTGATTGGAACAACTTCATGGTTACCTCTTGTTTTTTTAAACTTAGGATCATTTAGTATAGAAAACGGTTCAGGTGTATATCATTTCAAGTTCTCTTGAGAAAGAGGGGCCTTCAGGACGTTGACACCATAGTTAGTATCCAAATAGGAAGTGAATAAAAAGGCCAGGCCACTCGGGTCATATTATCCATGTTTTTAAATAAGGAAAACAATTATGACAGTACGTCCCAGGAGAACACTCAGTCATAAACTGTATTGCTGTTGTAAACCACAATGTGCTAGATGTTACCCCACATGCAGTGCATATCCATATATGTGACCAGTGTGTATCAATCAGAGGATACATTCTTGGATTCAATCCTCATGTGGTTGTGTGGGAGTGCGGATGTGTATTCACCCTGTCCAAGATTTTCAGAACATGGCCAACAGCTGCAGTTACATAATTATGCTTTTGGTTAGGATATTTATTTTGTGCTTCTTTCGCACTGTGATTGAGTACGAATTCTCTGATTGACTGAGTTAAAATCCACAAACAAAAGTTGCTTTGGTGATGGGAGGCTGCCCCTACCCCTTTGTGTTATGGGAAATAGACACATTTCTTTTTGCAAAAGCCTGTCCCGTTTTGATCATGTTGGGAAGTCTCAAACTTGAGTGAGTTCAAAATAAAGTACATTTTGTCAATTTTGTTGCAAGTGCAGAGAGACAGAGTGAGCTACAATCCTTGGGTCTAACACTTAACTTTATGAAAGCAAATAAAAAAGAGCACGGGGATTATCACAGAAATGTGTTCCTCAGCTCTCTGAAGTGAAGAAGAAATTGCTTAATATGTGTCAACTCTTGAGCTTTCAAGTGGTAGCTCATTTTTAAAGTGGATATCTCTTTCACTATCACTTTGCTTTTTTCTCCCCTGTTTTATTTCTTGCAGCATTAAGTGGCAGTGCAAGTGAAAGTAAAAGTAAATACAAACACTTAAAAAGTGAGTGGGAAGCTGGTCAAGCAGGTTTTTGATTTTCAATATCCAGTTACAATATGAGAAACTTCTAGCAACAAAGAGCAGTATTGCAAAAACAAACCTAAATGCATTAAGATGCCCATTTACCATCGAGCAACTGCTTTGGTTGCATTTATGGTACTGTGCAGGTCTGAATCAGAACCTAATACCCAACCTTCTTGAAAAATGTATAGCCTGTGAACAAACATTTTACAGAAGATGGCGTCGCTGATAAGATCTCGCTGTTGGCACATTCTTTATAAATCAAAAGTAGACGGTTCAAACAGAAACCAGAATCATTTCAAACCCAAGTTTAAACAGATTTGCAAGTTGTAACTGATGATCAGATGTCTAACTTTAGGATATTTTTTTTTTTTTTACTTTGTTCTTTCCGTGTTTCTTTCTACAGTTTGTAGGCCCTTAAAGGACAAGTATTGCAAATTAGCAGGCTTTGACAATCTAAGGCTCATGTATCTGTTTCTATAAACATGAATGAATATGTAGAGAAAATGAATTCTCTTGCTTCCTTTTACCTGTGTTACATGTCAGTTTGTCTGCTTGTGTGTGTTTGTGTGTGTTTGGGTGTGTCTCTCCCTTCTTTCCCTGATTGTCTCCCTGCAGGTGCAGCCTCCCCTTCAGGTGATCCCCATCCCATAATCAAATCTTTAGTTTATTCACTCTAACCCTGCGTTTCTTTTTTCTTCAACAAAGAAAACTTGGGCACACAAAAACAGGGCCATGTGTGGAAGAGAGAGACTGTAGCTTTCCTCAGGCCTTTTATGTAGGCCTTGATTATGGGATGGGGATCACCTGAGGGAGAGGCAGCAGAGAGACAATCAGGGGAAGAGGGGAGAGACACACACAAATACACACAAACACACACAAGCAGACATACTGACCTGTCTTTGGTCTGTTTAGGAACACCTGTGTCTATGCATGCATGTATACTATGCTATTGGGAGAACTTAGGCAAGCAACAATAAACTCATTTTGTAACTTAATAACGGAGTAACACATTCTATCATCTCACCCCCCACGCCCCCCATTTTTAAGCTCTTTTTGTCTGCCAGGTGTATTCAATCAAAGAGCCCATGAATGCAAGGTGTCTATGGCAACTAAGGAACAAACGTGCAAACCTAAATTGAAATCAGATCGTGAGATATCTTTTCCAAATAGCTGGAGGGCAGAAGAAAATATCCAAAGGAACCGCCATGGTTTGGCACTCAATACACGCTGTGCAGTACCTGAACTCTGAGAATGTTGGTCTTTAGCAAGTTCACATCAAAACACTAACTGCTATGAGTGCATGCTTCAAGAAAAATAACTGACCAATTCATTTTGATGAGCTGCATATTGCTCTTTGTGCTTCCATGTGTCATTGTTCAGGGTATAATGAAAAGAGTGCTTTCAGAAGAACAATGCAGCAGAACATCATTGGTTATCATTGTGTAAATAAGTTTAACAATAGTGACGTCACAAGGGCGAGAAGTGTAGGAGTTGTTAACTTGGTGCATAGCGAACTTGACTGCCCTTTTGTACTTTAGATATTAAAACGAGTATGTGTTTGTTTTGTGATTTCAGATAAATCAGCATGGCCTCAAATGGTGTCCTTCTTTTGCTCACTTTCATCCATATCAGCATTGGACATGCAGGTACATTTTGCTGTAATCTTAGAATTTCAAGTATGAAATGCTGTTTGCTACTGATGTAGCTTTGTGTCTCTTTATAACAAAAATATTTTCTGCTTCAGGTTTTATAAATGTGGAAGTCCGTGCTGAAAATGTGGGAAAATATGGCCAGCAGTCATTGCTGGAGTGTGTTTACAAACCCTCAGAGGAAGCAGAGGATGGACAACTCATCTGGGTCCATTGGAAAAAAGAGGGAGTTGAAGACATACTGTTTTTTCACAAAGGTGACACTACAGCAGAGTCACGCTATTCATTTGCTGAGCCGTCCTGGAATACCACAAACAGGAACGTCTCCCTGCTCATTACCGACACCTCTGTAAAGGACGAGGGAGAATATACATGTGAGATGGAGACAGAACGTGGTCATGGAACCAAAGAAACCCGCCTTAGAGTCACAGGTGAGACCCTCCAGCCGTGGTTGACCACTGCACTGGAACATTTTGAAAACTATTTGGCACAACAATAGGTGACCATTTTGAGTCAAATCCTATTCTGCTAACTAATTTAATATCTTCACTGCAAGTACAGTTGTTTCTCTAAACATTTGTTTATTCTGCTTGCTAACAGAACATGCATTTGTAATACGTGATTGCTGTCTTGATACTTGAGACAATTCAGAGATCCAGGGGACTTTCCTGGCTTATCTGATTGGTATTCCCCTTGCTGGTTTTAGTTACTTTCAGTTTCAATGTTACATAAGTCAGTTCCTTTAATATATGTATTGCTGCTTACCACATATTGCACTTTATACTTCTTTCAGAATATAAGGATAGACAAACATTTTCTTGATATTTCATTTGTGTCATTTTATGATGGGGCAAGGTTCGGCTTTATGATCATGTTTTTCCTCCCTCTATCCTTTACAGCCAAGTACAACAAACCAGCTATAAAATTCGACCCTCAGACAAGTACCCTGATCTGTGAGTCCGACAGTGGCTATCCAGAAGGTCAACTTCGCTGGTTTGACGAGTTTGGCACAGAGTGGACCAAAAGCGCTCAAATGGAGGCGACTGTAGTGGGAAGTGGTCTGTTTAACCTCTCCAGTAAGCTGACTTTGAAGGACGGATCTACTTTCTCCAGCTACACTTGCAAAGTGTTTAATGTCAGTGGAGGAAAAGAGGACGAGGCCACATATACAGTACCAGAGCCAGAAAACGAAGGTATTTGTTGCTGATTACCTCGCTTGATACCTTTTTAGGCCTTTTGGTTCACTTGTTCTTCACACAAGGAAATGCCATACAAACATTTCAGCCACTGTTACATCTGAGGTCTGGATTTACTTGAAGTCTGAAAGCAATGACTATAACTGGAGTAATAAAACATATAAACAGACCTTCATTAATGATTGCACAACTAAAAAGGACTTTGAACCCCAAGCCAACTTGGTGCATTATTTAACAACATAAAATACACACTGTTTTCACACACACGTAAATATTATGTACACATGACCAAATATGTATATATGTTCATTTTGAATTCATTTCTTATTTTATAGTTATTTTATCATTTATATCTTTGATTTTATCCTTAATTGTGTGAATCTGTGCTGTCCTGTTTTTCAATCCTACCCTGTTGCTCTTAAACTACTGAATTTCCCCACAGGGATTAATAAAGGTCCATCTTATCTTATCTTATATTATCTAATCTTATTTGTGTTGCTGCAGAGCGTGACAGAGGACTGAATTATCCCACAGTAACAAAACGTGTCAAACTGTAGTCTTAATAAGCTTTTTCTTGGCAGGTCATACAGTTGTATTTATTTATGATAACACATCTCTGCTTCAGTTGTTTTGCTTCATAATTCACTAAGTAGACAGTAGGGATGCCAGCAATTATTCGATTTTTCGAATATTCGTTACAGTCTCCATAATCGAAAATTATTTTTAAAATTCGATTTTATTTATATATATTTTTATTATTATTTATGTTTTTCTTTTTTTTCCTGGCTTAGTTTCAACCAAAATATAGACTAATGCTAATAATAGTAATAGTATTAATAATTGTAAATGGCCATTGGTCACACCACCTGTTTGTTTTACTGTAAACCCCCCCCCCCTCTCCGTCACACGTGCAACACAACTAAAGAGGAACAAAGCGGCACGTTCAAAGAAGAGTTCCTCGTGGAACTACTTCGAACTGACAAGTGCAAATGAAGTAAAATGCAAGCTCTGCGAAAATACTTTTTATTTTTCCCTCCCGCTGGGGGGGGGGGGGGGGGGGGGAATAATCGATTAATATTCGCCAGGGCTGTCCGATTTTCGAATTTGATCATGGTCAGTTTCTGGCATCCCTAGTAGACAGGCTGCGACATGTCTTGTATCCTGAACTGTCATGTTACGAAAAACTTCAAAACATTGCTCCTCACAAACAAAGCTATGCTTGACAGTCCAGGCTACCGGTTAATGCTTTTTGTGTTGTTGAACTACAGCTTTTCTTCAGTTTTATTTATTATCATTAACTGAAAACCCTTTCAAAAGAGCTGTTTTTCACACCTGCTTCATACAGCAGACAGTCATTTTCCTATGGCCAAATTGTGCAGACCACATTGGAAATTAAAGTGAAAGTAGTTTGCTAGAGTAATATAGGGTGAACATCCAACCAGTCTGATTTCACCAATAGAAGCTCACTGTTTTTGTTCATGAGTTAAAGTATTAACACATGTAATCTTTCTTGGTTTTATTCAGGACGTGCCCAGGAGAAAGAGGTGGATCACACCACCAAAGTAGTCGCTCCTCTGGTGGTCATCGGATCCCTGATCGTAGGGTTGCTGCTGCTGATGCTGCTGCTTTACAAAAGGCGATCTCAACGTGAGTACAGTCACAGGCACTTGCTTGTCTTTCGGTTAATATTAACCATATGATTTTTTTATTGAGGATGACATGACTCATATGAAAAAGTACAGGGTAGACAAAACAGACCTTGCCAGTTAAATGTAGGATTTCCTGCTTCCTTTAAATAAAACAAGAAGCAAACAAATGTACTACATCCATATTTTAGTCTACACGAGACAGCCACAAATAATACAGAAGTATGTACTATGTGGCTTAGTAGCCACTTTGAACAAAGTGTCTGCTAAATGTATTACAGATGTATGATAAGTATTGACCAAAAGTGGTACATTCGTATAAGTATGTATCATTAAGAAATCCTTGTCAGCTGAAAGAACATACCGTGCATCCCTAAAAGTATATAACGTTATCTAACACTATGGAAAGAAAACGATTAACTGGTGATCAATTTGGATAACGATTGAACATTGATCGTTTTGCTTGCTTTATCATTCATAATGTCCTTTTAATTTGTGATAAGCAGGTGTGAGTAGTTGCAGTATTACTGATTGATACTATACAAACACTCCAGCCCTTTTACTGTGATATTTGATCGAGGTATATATTGTGACCATATGATACTGCCATTCTGTAATGTTGGGTCAGATTTCCTCAGTGGCTTTCTGTAAACAATAAAGAGCTGACAGGAAATAGTCTTCAAATAAATGAAAGTTAACGCCACAATGGTTGGAGGTGGAAAAACCTGTAAAAGTAGACAAGTTAATCAGGATGGGAAAGTACACTCTTTTATTGTTGGCTTGAATCCAACTGTGTAGCAACTGCAAACCTGTCATTAGTCTAAACTGGTCGAGTGTTTTCCATTGTTGCCATTGTACTAAAGGGTCTTGCGTAAGTGTTGTGATTCAAATAGAGATCTGATTTTAATTTATTCGTCATTTCCTTGACAGTGGGCCGGAGGTTCTCTACACGACCCCTTATTATGGGTATGCTCATCTTGACTTACTTTAGAGGTTCTAATCATCTCTGTTGATTTCTCTATCTATCAGCATATTTGAGCTGCCTGAATCACTAAATATCTGCAACAGAAATTCAGACAGATAAGTGAGTGGTTTAGTGAGCTAAAATATATGAAACATTGTCTTTAAATGACCTTGGTTTGTATGTATTATATGTAACTGATTAATACGTGTTCAGTAGCCTCCTGGACTGCATATTTTGAGCCAAACATCAACCAAAGTCACTCACCACAGACAGGTCACATTCCAAGCTAGGGAATGTTAGGGCATGTTCTTTTTAACCTTGCTCATTGTTCTGCTTGAGGACATGTTTATCCAAGACCAAGAACGTTTCCTGTCTTTGCATTCACTATTTTCATGTCTAATTCACTCTCTTGCTTTCCTCTGGCTTTCAGATGTGTAATGTATTTATATAATGTGTATACGTAAATACATGTATATATTTATTTAGTAGGTTTTCCATGGTTTGTGCTAAACTCAGCTTGGGTACCAATCAGTTTTTCCACTCATGATAAAACCTGACTCATGTTTGGAAACTCACTGCTGGGGATCTGCCTATGCTTATGTCAAAAACTCTCTTATTATGTTGATGGTTTTACACCCACCCCAATGTAACTCACAGTTAAATGTTTTTATTGTTTCCAGGTGGCCATCAGCCAGTCGACACATCTGACTCACCTGTTGAGCAAGGTATGTCATATTTTGACTCTAAAACAGTGTATTATACAACTTTTGTTACTTTTTGTTTTGAATGCACTCTATGAGATTTCATCCAGGCTTTGATATTCAATATTTTTGCTGTTTATCTTCAGGAGAGGATCAATCATGCCCAGACAGTCCGGCCTGAGGTAATTATAATGCTCCAAACATCCTAATAAAGAAGATTACTTCCTACAAAACAATACATAATCTAATAGCTCTTTCACTCTCTCCCTCCCCCTCTCTCTCTGCAGAAGACAGTATCTGTCACATGGCATGTGGAAATGTACTAGCAACCTTTGAAATCAACACTTCCTTGTTTGCTAATCTCACTGTTTTCCTTACTGCAAACAACTATAACCAGGATTAACTTGTACTACTGTGATGTTCTCAGAGGGTTTGTTTGAGCTTGATTTACCTTAGCTAAATAGGTGAACACTCTAAAATCAAGTCTAAATCTAAACAAGATCTGGATATATTTTTGAATCAGTGACGGACAACTAAAAGGCATGGGGTCATGTAAGGCCCTGTGACCTGTAAAACCCCATGAGGATCTGAGGATGTGTAAAATCACCAGAAAATAATAACTAATGAGGACTAAGTCTCTGATGGAGTTTGGTTATTGGAGGGACATTTTTCTAAATTGTGCCCACGCAACGAATGTAGCTTTTGGCAGCTTTGGCCCTTGTTCTCACTGTCATTTGTCAAATGATGTCAACGTTACAAAGAAAAACGTTGAATCATATTTTTTAGGAAGTGTGTGTGTGTGTGTGTGTGTGTGTGTGTGTGTGTGTGTGTGTGTGTGTGTGTGTGTGTGTGTGTGTGTGTGTGTGTGGTAACATAACATGTGTTAAGGACAAGAGTGTGTTACAAAATATACTGTGTGTTTCAGACGGTAAAAATAGGAACCATTCAAAAGCAGAAATGTGCCAGATGATGCAGTTGTCGCGACCCTCGACTTAACTTTAAATCCGATGTTACCCCTCGCTGCTGCAGAACATTCAGGCCCAGCTAATTTCATATCCTTATTCTAACCAGGAACAAAGATCACTAGAAAAATATTGGTGGCGCTTCCCCATGTCACATGATGTCCACTTATTTACTCTATACAAAAGTGGGGTGTGTTTATAAACCAAAAATGTGTTCCTCTTTATAGTCGGTCATGAGGATGTTGTGTAACTTTTGGCAGCAATGTGGACGTTTTTTCACAATGGACACTTATCTTAATCCTCTCAGGCCTGTTTTTGGTTTCATTCTTCAATCTGATACTGGCTTTCTTTGATGCAACAATATTTTCAGGGAACGTGGTTTTTGTTCTGAGCCCTGCTCCGCAATGGAGCAGCTTACTATTGTACGTAAAAGCTTTGTTCTAATTGTAGATATCGGCGTTAATCATTTCGTATTTGATAGGAAAAAAGCAACGCCGTTATAAAAGTTTGAAGGTTTTTAATTTGAAAGTCTAACATGAACAATTCAACTTAAAAATGTAACGCTTTTTTGAGCACTGTGTGAATACTGTTTTGATCAATCTGTGAATATTGTAATTCTGTGTGTCTGTGTGTTGATTAGTTTTTCCACAACTTCATACATCATGCCACATTAAGGCACTGTCACTACTTCATTCAGTCAAAACAATGATAGGACTAACCTTTAACTGCTGTTATGATTTTTTTACATGCAATAAAAAGAAAGTCAAATTTGAAAAAGATATTGAATGTGAATTATTTTATTGTGTTTACTTTTGCCATGGACTTGTAGATTATATTTCAGACATAGCATTTATTTTTGAAGGATTTTTCTATTAAATATGTACAGACATAGAAACCAAAATCACTTTCTGGTTATTCCTATGGAGATTTTCAAGTTACGTTGGCTGTGTATGCACATTTAAATCTCCGGATATAACAGATGGTTTGTTGATGAGCTCAAGAGAGGTATGTCGCTACACAAGAGCCGTTCCCAGTGTTCTCTTTCCTTGTTCCTCTTTCATTTCACTTTCTATTGAACATTTAAAATAAATGAAGAAATCGAAACCATTATCATCATGTTCTTGTAACAGATAATAGATCATCGGCATGCAATGAGTTACTCTGAAACTTTCAAACCTGCACTTTCTGACTTTTTTTTTAATCAAAACTGACTGAATCAACTACTGTACTTACAGTATGTTGTTTTAAATAATGTATAATAATGATACAATTTGAATGAATACAATATATATCAAACTTTATGATATAAACATTTGTTTAAGATTTAAAATGAAAGTGAAATTCAGCTAATGAGAATCTGAATTCATCTCAATCCTGCCATCTATTGGACAGACATCCTTACAACATGTTAGAGACGCAAAGGTGGACTACAATAAACACATGTATAGTATTGTAACAAACTTGCATGTTGATCAACACCTTGTGTTAGTTAAAAGTTTAAAAAGTATAGGGTACATTTTTGCAAAGTATGATAAATAGTGTTCTTATGTTCCCCTTTTTACCTTATTGTCTGAATGTATTCCTTTCATATCATTACTTTCCCATGTGCACGTATTGTGCATTAAGACAACGAAACATGTATCCATCTTTGTTGTGCACGAAAAGCTTGGTCTGTCCACGAGTAAATATGAAGACTGTTGGTCATATAAGACAAATTCACAAGCGTTTAAATATGATGTGCTTTATAACACTATGAATTATGGCCTCAAAACTGTATCAACACATCGGAAAGTAGTGATATAATGTTGATCAGTTTTTGGTCATTTGTGGGGAGGTTCAATTGTATTTCCTTGTACAGAAATATACTGACAGGTGTTACTATATTTTTCGACACCTATCAATGAACTCAGAATGCTAAAGAAATTGAAATGTTGATATCATTTTGTGTAAGTCTTTAATTTCACATTAATTGTGAATAATAAACGTCCTTTATGGTGAGTTGACTTTTATCATTTTTTAAATTTTGAAACATTTTTCAACCCATAAGAACCCGGACCCATTTCTACTTTTGGGAAAATGATGGGGAACCTAATGTAGACAAAATAGACCATGCAGAACCCATTTCTGACAAGTAACCCCCCCTAGTGTCAAAGATCTGAAATGTGACATATATGTCACATTGGGCTTTAATGGTAAAGTAACTCTTATTTATAACTTAATTCATGAGGATGCTTTTTTGGATTACATTTGGTTTAACATTCTTTGAATTGAAGAATAAAGAATATATTAATTAAATATCATTGAATCAGCTAAATGAACTGAGCAGATCATAATCATATTTCTAATTGTGCATATATGTCACTCCAGATTTTCTGAGAAACTGTAAGGTTAATGTCCCGATGTGACATTAATGTCACAGCGATATTTATCTTATTTGTTTCATATCAATATGATCAAATATTTTTTTCAAAACAGGTTAAATGTAATAAAGGAAATGTTATGTAAGCATTATAATTCTTAAATGGCTTGAATCTTACCTTTAGCAACAAAAAACAAGCGTTTGAAATGTAGCTAGTTCAGTCACATGTGTTAGCCTGGCACATGGACATCTTGGACATGTTGTTATGGGAACACAAAGTCACATGACCTGGCCCATGACCCACCAGACTGTTCAGTGTGTGTCACTTAGGGACTTCATAAGATAAAATAAAGGAACTTTCCAGAACATTTGAAGGTCATGTGACACCTGTGTCATGGAGGGTCCTTATGGTTAGGAGTTATTTAGCCCCACCTTTTCTTCCATTTACACGCAGGCTAAGGTCATATCACTGTCTGGAAATGACTGAAATCAAAGGAGTGTGTGTCACAGTTGTCGCATCATTGCCAATATCACACAGTAAAGGAAGTGTGTTGGCCTTGCTGTCAATGTCTGTGGCTTTATGTGAGAGACAAAGACAGGATGCAGTCAGTACTGCGAGATGAGGATCCTCAGCTGTTTCACACTGTTGCTCTTTCTTTCTGCCAATGCAGGTAAGATGATTTACTTTTCAAAACACTTTTGAAGAACATGTTGTTGTAATTAAAGTCTGTGTGCAACATCGTTCACTAGACCAGCTGGTTGTCAGACTTTTGTGCAGCAATAGTTTTACATTCTGCTTTCAGATCTAGATTGTTTTTGGGACATTTTTTCTTCTTTTCGACAGACAACAACGCAGTGTGGCGAGCGTCTGGCGAGAATGTCACCTTGAGGTGTTCCGTTGCAGGGTGTCCCAACAGTAGCAATAACGAGTATGATGGGATGTTTCTGTATCTGAATCAATATCATGAGGAGCAGAAAGAGGTGCAATACTATCACTCTAGTCCAGGAACACCTGACAACATCGCCCCGAGAGATAGATACAAGGACAGGATTCAGACAAATGGATCTCTGAAGGACCACACCATCACCATCAGCCGGCTGACCGTGCACGACTCTGGCTTCTACCGATGTGTCTTCATGCATTTTCCTCATGTAAGAGTCACATGCAGTGAACATACACTTTTTATAAAAGGTGGGCATTTATTTTATTTTTTACATCAAATTTAAATTCTGTTTTTATTGTATCTTGTTCTTTCAAACATGTATATAGTTATATCATTTCTGCGTTTACTAGCCCATGGGTCTTAAGGTTTTCATAGCCCAAACTACTAAAAGGTATGGTGAGTTCATAAAATATAAAATGTATAAAGATTCTCAACAGTATATAAAATAGGTTAACATTTATTGTGTCCCCACTGCTGAAAGAATTGTATTTGTAAATTCAATATTCAATATTCTTATATTAATATTCATTTGTACTTTTCTTCCAAGTTTATAAAAAGTTAATCCGTAGAAAAGTATTGAAGACGTAACCCTTCTCTTTGAAACAAACTTGGCTTATTTAATGAGGGGGGGTAAAATACAGAAATCACCAAGACAAAGAAATTGAACATATCCTAAATGACAATACTCATGTTTGGCGTCATTAAGAGTAGATGCAAATGGATGGCACAAGAACATTTGTAACATTCATGTAACTACATTTACCTGATAACACTTATAGTATAAAGTATACTTTTACTTCGCTAAAATATTTAATTGCAGTGGTTTAAGGGCTATTTAGTATTTTTACAGGGCTACTAACATACCAAATCACCAAATCGGCTAATGATGATTTAAAGTTGTGCTAAAGATGCTATCACAAGATGTTATGTTAAAGGAACATTGGCATGAAGACATTTTATTTGGTGTAACCCAGCTTGCTGTCATCCTTTAATCCAGGAGTGGCTCCATGTCCCCCAGCAGAGGTTCCTCCTGCCCTTACCTGCGAGAATCATCTTCATCTGGTGTTAATCATCGGCGCAGCCTGCACCGTCTGCACGATCGCCACCATAATCTTCATCCTGCTGATCGTCACCAGGGTGAGTTCAGATATCTCTTCCCATCGCTATGGGCATGGACTAAAATCCTCGAAATGCTCTGCCATCTTCAGCCGTGGTTACTGTACCTCCTGTGTGTTGAGACATTATTCACTCTACATCAGGGGTGTCAAACTCAATTTCATTGCGGGCCACATTAGCATTATGGTTGCACTCAAAGGGCCGGTTGTAATTTTAAGACTATATAAATATAGATATATAAATATATGATATATATTAAATAATGTATTATATTATATGATTGGCTCTGCATTGGATTATTATCAGTTCTGGTAATAACTTCATAAATAACTACGACTGAAAGCAGAAGTCTAGGGCAAATAATTGAAAGCAAATATTCAACAATTACACCAATTGTATTGTATATAATATTCTTGCAATTTCTTGAGGGCCACATAAATGAGGTCGCAGGCCAGATTTGGCCCCGGGCCTTGAGTTTGACACCCCTGCTCTATGATTGCTTGACTGATTTCTTTATTTCCATTACATGGACACACAATGTCCGGACCTAATCATTTTACAAGTCACCAAAAATAAAATGTCAATGTTCATATGTTTATTGACATTTGACTTAATCACAAGCTTTTTGATGCTTGGTCTTCAAACATGTATTCTGCCTTCTCTCCCAAGCTTTGTAGACATATTCCTTACAGAAAATATACTCTAAAAGCAAACCCACATTTTTTCATAGTCATTTAGCCAAGAGATATCAACATTAATGGAGGTCATATCTCTTATTTCTCATAGACACAAAAGTAAAATAGAAAGTGAATCTTATTCTCAATTCAACATTCACAGGGTTATTAGTCTGAGTGCAACTATCTGCGTAGGGATGTTTGTCTTTTACTTTAAATTATACTCGACTTAAAGTTCTGAAATGTAGCTTGTATTTTTTATTTACACCATATATCGTCCCACCATTTTTCTATATGCATAAAAAAAACGTTGCTCTTAATCTCTTCAACATAACAGCGTACTGAGTACTGGAAAGTGAATAACATATCATCAAACAGCCAAAACCACCTGCTGTAAACAAGATGTTCCTCTGTGATATCTGCAGCTCACGTGCCGATTACAAAGATAACCACTCTTTCACAGGAAGTGGGGACAGCTTCTTTAAACGTACTGTTTGTGTTTTATTCTGTTCAGATTTCTTCACATGTTGTCTAAAGATAAATATTACACTTTACTGACACCTTACTGACTTTTAATTTGGTAATACTTGAAACCCTCAACCATAGGGGAAACAATTACTGTAAGTGCACTGACGTGAAAAGGCACGTAAAACATAATACAAGATGTTCACATGTCAGTATACTCT